GGATTTGACGGAATCCCATATTATTTCCAAGTTTTAATGTTGTTTAGCCGCTTGCTCAGTTGGATAACATTCTTACATAGTATCTGATCCTGTACCTTCCTCTAGAACAGAATGTTTTCAACTGAAGGCGGTTTTGTACCCCAGGGTATATTTGGCAGTGTCTGGAGATGTTTTTAACTGTTATCACTTGGGAGGAAGGGCTGCTGCTGGCATGTAGTGGGTACAGGCCAGGAATGTCCCTCGTGCTGTCTGGTTAATTTTGATAGTCTTTTCTTTCTTTCTTTTTTTTCCTTCTTCAATCATCCTGCATTTCTTTAAATATTTAATATTCATTTTATATTCTGTATCTGACAATTCTTGTATCGGTGGTCTTTTGTTTCTGCTGACTGACTCGTATGTGGTGCTTTGTTTCTGGGCATGTTTGTAATATTTGACCGAATTTAATTTGGGGGAATCCTAACAGGTTTTGTTGAGAAAGCTTCTTCAACAGGAATTCGTGGTGGTTTCTGCTGGGTACAGATCTCCACATCTGGTTGAGAGCAATTCCATGATTACAAATTTGCAGAATTCTTTTTATATTTATACTTTCATTAGTTTTCCACCTATATCCAGAATACGCAAACTGGATTCCTTTTGGTACCTTTGCACAGGTTGGAAGATTTTCAGTGGCAGGTTTGGTTTAACTGCTCCAAGACCTAGTCTTCTATCCCTGTGTTTCTGCTCTTGGTAGCTCCGATTTGACCTTTGTTCATTCTCTGGTTTCAGTATTCAGTTCCCTCCTGACTGCCTTTGAGGATTTTTCTTATCTTTGAGGATTTCGCAAGTAGCTCTGGGAGCTCAGCAGTGCAGTTACAGGGAAGTTTATTGTGATCTATGCCGTCAGTGGGCGTGGCAGGAGAGCGTTGTAGAATGTCGCATCCACTTTATCTCCAGGAGCATGTGGCCTCCGTCCACACTGCTAGGCTGAGGAGTCACAAAGGACAGCGGAACTTCCAGGACAATGGGGCTCTACCTCTTCCCAGGGCGTGAAGGGAGGGCACTCAAGGAACCCTAAGACGTTGGCACTGTGAGGACCTGAAAACCAGCGAGTCCAGCCTTACCCCATTTCTCGGTGGAAACCTGGCAGGGTTGGGCTAACGAAGCAAATGGGGCCGAGGCTCATGGCCCCTTCTTCCCCCTCCTGGCAAAGTATCTAGCATATTCGACACTCAGAGGGGATCATTTTTAATACTCCTCCTCTCTGTGACAAATTATCTGAAGTAATAAATGTGAAATAAAACTATATGTGATGTCATAGATCCAGATATTGCTTGAATTGCATCTTCTTTTGCTTGAAATTTGTCTTTGTGGAGCTCCACGGCATCAGTCTTTAGCGGTGCCTCTGCTAACATTTCTGAATGAATCCAGAGTAATTATGGACCAGTTGCTGGTTTCACAACACAACAGGCTTCGAATTCCTCCGAGTGCCCAAAGGACAAACAAGCACAACTACGCATTCAATAACTTTGACAGCTACCTAACAGTTTAATCTTGACTCTTGTGATGTATGAAATAATGCAAAGTATCTATATTGGTCTCCGCCCCAGGTTCCTGGCACAGAGCTCCTAAACCGCTGTCATTTCCTAGGAGCACTAGGAGCTTCTATTAATTCTAACACTTTTTCTTTGACCCTGGTTCTTGACCCGGGGCTCTTAAATCCCTTGGAATTTCCTAGGCCATGGCAGTGCCTTTTGTTCTAATGAGGTGATTCTGGGTGGGCTCCTGGATCGGGGCTGGTCACCAGAAAGATCAGGCCATAATTAGAAGCCTGGAATTTTTGGCTCCACCCCCACTCTTGAGAGAGGAGAGAGGGGCTGGAAATGGAATTAATGATCGATTATACCTAGGCGATGAAGCCGTCATAAAAATCCTAATAGTGTGGGGTTCAGAGAGACTCTGGGTTGTGATCACATCTACGTGCTAGGAGACTGGGTACCCCAACTCCTCAGGGACAGAAGCTCCTGTGCTCAGGAGCTTGTTTTTCTGTATTGGCCTGTTAATTTGTATCCTTTATGATGTTCTTTATAATAAACCAGGAAACATGAGTGTTTCCCTGAGTTCTATGAGCCATTCAAGCAAATTATTGGACCTAAGGAAGGTGTCATGGGAACGCTGATTTGTAGCCAGTTCTTTGGAAGTACAGGTGACACCCTCATACTTTCTATTTGTGTCTGAAGTGGAGGCAGCCTTGTGGAAGTGACCCCTTTACTTGTGGGATCCGATGCTAATTCTAGGTAGTGTGTCATAAATGAACCGAATTATAGGATACCCGGCATGTGTCGTGGAGAATTGCTTGATACATTAAATGCACACACACGTGGTGTCAGAAGTGAAGTGAAGTATTATATGACTAGTAGTATGAGAGTAAAACTCACATGAAAGTGAGTTTTTCCTTTTCAGATTAATCTGATATAATAATTTGTGTAACTGTCAAATAACTAGTAAGTTATTATTAATAAAACCAAGAACTCTGTAAAAGGTACAATTTAGGCAACTAGTAAATTACACCAGTAATATAACATTTTATTTTCTTGATCAGTTCTTTAGTCTTAAAGCAATTAACAATTAAAAATACTCTTTAAAGATATCGTTCGAAATATTGAGCATACTAGCTAAACTTTGAACTTACAAACAAAAATATCTTACTGTTCTTAAAATTATGAACATAAAAGTCCAAATGGTCACGTAGAATGCTAGGATGAAAGTACATGAGCTTTTGTTTCTTCATCTTTACAATAACTATGCCGTTATTGTTTATCTTGCTAAATGCAGAATTCACAGTATGACAGAGCTTGAAGGTGTGAACTGTACCCGAAGCCAGTGTGAAGACCTCTGAACTGTCATGAACTTACTCTCGAAAGGATGCTCAGTCCTTGCGTGTCAGGGGCAACGGTACAATCAGAAGCCTCTGAATTAACTTCTGTGCAACGTGAATGTTTACTAAAGGAACAAATAATTAGAATGAGTGAATTTTAAGCTTACATATTGTACTAGTCTCCTGTGGCTGCTGTAAAAAATGATCACAACCTTCGTGGCTTAAAACAACACGCGTTTATTGCATTGCGGGTCTGGAGGTCAGGAGTCTAAATCAAGAGGTCAGCATGGCCATGGCCCTCCCGGAGGCTTCAGGGGAGACTCTGCTTCCTCGCCTTTCTTGGCGTCCGGAGGTGGCCCACATTCTTCGGCTCCTGGCCCCTTCCTCTCATCACTCCGTCCTCTGCTTCCATGATTACATCTCCACTCCGTCTCTGACCCAGATCCGCCAGCCTCCTTCTAACTAAGACCCTCATGGTTAGCTGGGCCCACCCAGGTTACCTGGAATAACCTCCGGGGCTCCAGATCCTTAACGCGATCCCATCGGCAAAGTCCCTTTGGCCACGTACAATGATATTTACAGGTGTTGGGGATCATGACTCGGGCATCTTGGGGGCAGGGCATCATTTAGCCCACCCCGCATATATTCTCTACAATAGCTGCAGCGAGTGTGTTTTGAGGGAGGAGGATTTCATCACTGACGTTTAGAATGGCCCGTGCGGAGCGACCACATAAAGCGGACAGACTTGGTTGGTTTTATTGTTGTTTTTAAATTCTCTTTACACAGCATACTCCTTATCGCCTGCCTCCCAATGCCTTGCTCTGGGTCCACCGCTGCCCCCACCCATTCACCCACCCCGGCGCCCCAGGATAGACTATGACTTTTTCTTTTCTCTTCATCCAGATTAGCAAATTCAGAGGTGCAGTCGTGCAAGCCAGTGTTGGCCAACCTGGACGGCCCCGGGGCTTCTCTGGCATAGACTCAGGCAGTAGCAGATGCGCAGGTGATATGGGAACTTG